TTTGTTGAAAAATATTGAAAAATATCTGTCATTTCAAAGTTTTGGGGTGTGGACCATCGGGGGTAGTCCGTTCCTGACTTTGTAGCAAAACAACTGACTCCTGCATGAAAGCTCATCGACGGAATTCATTTGTTTAGTCAATTACCAAAATTTGGATGATTTTGAATATTCACTTGAAAAGTTATCAAAGAAAAACATTTTTCATTTTGTAACTTCGAGGGCCCGTAACTTGGTTACGAAGACTTTTAGGAAAAAAAGTTATATGAAGTACTGGTGATATTTTGACCCCAACTATACATTCCCGAGAGGAAAAGAGGAAGTCCAGGGACACCCTGTATATATAAAATAATTTGATGTAGCGAAAGCGAGTTTCAACATTAACTACCAAAGGAAGGCATCATTTACTTTCTTACAGAGTAGAATTTCACCAAGCAGTCATGTCAAAGTGTCAGCATATAGTAGTTTCTGAAAAGGAAGTGGGATCAGTCTTTGTTCAACATAGTCTGTTATTACATATTAAGGTACCTATAAAATGTTCACTTCGAGTAAGCCCATTCAGATTCCTAGGATTAGGTGAAGCTCTCAAAATACTAAGTTCTTCGAAAATGGATGATGTCACAATCAACTATCATAATCATCGTAATAGTAGTCACATATTACTAACAGAAAGTAGGAATATAAAAATCAAAAGACTATTGTGATTTAAGGTCCGTATCGGTCAGCGCGTGCGGGACGCGCATCGCCCGCTTTTAGCGCTATTTTCGCATCTAAATTAAAAGTATAAATATTGGTGATAGAGTTCCGGGAGGTTGGATTTTTTTTCAGGACATTTCCTCCTCTTTAAGGATTTCTTTTTGAATTTCGGATATCTTCAATATTTTACAAGATATCTGCAAAAAACCAAACCCCCTTTTTCTACTGATTTGTTTATAACTTTTGCAATTTTTCCGAATGAGCCTTGGATCATAATTTTTGGTGTCCTTGGACAGAAGTTCCAAAAAAAAGATCTTTTGACCCAGATTAGTGATCATGAAATCTAGTTCAACCATATGACAAACCCAAGAAAATGATGCAATTTTTTTTGTCTGATTATTATCGTTCTGAGTGACTTGAATGGTATAACTCGGCCATTGAGTTCAATTGATAATTACGGAACATTGGATGGAACAGAATTTCATCAAGTCTAGGTTTTTCACAAGTTTTTGATAGACATTCTGTGTTTGTCAATACCATATTTGAAGACACTGCCAGTATCACCTATTATAGAAGACGACTTCAAAATAGAATATGGGATGAGAAAGGAACATATTATGCGGATATAAATTCATATTACAGCTCCGTACTCGATCAATACATATCCATCTTCCAGATGACATTGCAAAAAGAACCACACTTTAAAGCCTCAATGAAATATACGTTTCATTATTCTTACAGACAATCCAGGTTGCTATCATGACATTCATGAAACACAAGAGTGACATCGAGATTTATCGGGGAAGGCCATGAAAATAAATGTGAACAGGAAAATACTGACTTTTTCACTGAGTGGCAGGATGCTTAGAATAACAGTTAATGAAAAAAATTGATTATTGTATTCATCGATCATCAACTCCATTATCAGGCCGGAACTAGCTGTGAGGGAACCAAAATCTATGGTACGGAACCAGATCAGGAAATAAGTCACTGAGAAATATAAAATACTCTTTATATACCTGGGCACACATATGACAAGACAAGAATTTTTGATTAAGTAGTATTTTAAGTGTGATTCGAACATAATTATGAATGGACTGACCCGTTACTTGATTAAAATCAATAGAACTCCATCCATGATATCGGATACCGACGAAGCTACGGAGTTTGCGAAACGCGTCTAGAAATAAAAATGTTTGTGAACATTTGTAATACACTGTTTTTATATTTCATACTTTTGTCTTCTACATTTTGATTTTGTTAACTTTGTCAATAAGAAAATCTCAAATGAAGTATAAAAAAAGAATGATCCAACAGAGCAGGATTCATTTTAATACAATACTTTGACACTTATTTCATTTCACTTTTCTTGAATGTTGAATCAATTATCAATCATGAATTACTGTGGTGATTAGTATTATTTTTCATTGATGTTTTGATTGGTGATCTGCTATAATTTGAAATCGTAGTTTATAATAACTCAGAAATACACTATATCGTCAGCCATCTTTGAATGGAACTTTTTGATGTTACAGAAAGAATTCCAGTCACGAGGAGAATATTGTAAAGCAGGGGACGAATCTCCTCCTTCTACGTCATACCCAAGAGATGAACTCGTCTGCGGCTGTCATATCTCTCGAGCAAGCTCCCTATTGTTGGCGTTGCTGATGATACTTTTGGTCATCATTTAATTTTCAGAATAGGATGTCATCACTCTTTCAGTTCTTTAAATATTATCATTTGATGTGTCGTATTGAGATTCAGTTCTGGGTTCATTTAGGCATAGCTAATGTGTCAATGACTGACTTAGAATAGAAAATTGAATCTTGACTGAACATGAGTAAGCATTGACTTGATTTTAATTGAGTTATCCGATGTTTTTCAAGTTTTGTGGCATAATTTTGTGCATTCATTGACAATTGTTGGTCAGGATGTTTCGATGTTTTATATATGATGTGATAATGCAATATCACCAGTCTTATTTACCATTATTTTACTGAAATACAATGGCTCAGAGCTACTAACAGATCTTTCATGTTACCTTGAATCTACGTTTGAATTGAAAATATATTTTTCTAAATAATCAACATCTGATTATTGTATGCAGTCGATATAACTGTTCATAATTATTTTTAGTGTGCCAATTTCCGTACAGCAAACCAAGTGCTCACAAGCTACGCCCGTTGCTGTGATCAAAAAGTTCATTTTTTGAAGCTTCTTACATGTTAAAAGCATAGGTGTCAATTGATATTATTCTAGAAGTGTTTCTGAAAAGTTGTAGAAGAATCGTGCCAGACTAGCGTTTCAATATGATATTCAAAATTTATGTCAGGAAGAAATAAACTGATGAGGTCCAATCAATTGGCCTAAATTGATCAATAAACCTTTATCATTCCCAGGATTGCTACACAATAAAATGAATGAAAGAGGTGAAATTTCACTTACATGGAACACTGTCATCCTCAATGGTGAACATCTAATGTTTCGAACTAAGTCGGTTGCCTCATTTCCTCTTCAGCACCAATCTGGACAACATTACAAGATGAAGCACTCAATTCGTTTTTTAAATTACGACTTTATGTCACAAATGAGTTAAACAATCCCATGTAATTGATGGAAGTAGTTGTTTCGAGAGGGCTTTTTCTTTCAGATATGTGTTTGAAAGTTACTTCTTTGCATGATCGACACATCTTTGTAAATAATTCATTTTGAAATCAATTGCTATCGTCTTTTCTTTGGAAGATTCCCACATTTTTTTGTATAAATATGCAGAAGTAGAAAGTCAAAACCTTTTTTTTCCAAAAAATAATCTCTCCTAAAAATATATTCCTTTCAATTTATCAACCATAGTTCTGAATTGATAATAAAGGAGAACACATGAACATCAAATTTCAATTGATATTTTGGACAATTCCATGACATTTGTCTGTGTTTTATGGGGCTATGTACCATTTTACATTCTTGCTCATTGTGTTGTTGGTTGCGGTTTCTTTCTGTTTAAGTATTTTTTAGTATTCCTATGTTTAAAAATGATTTGATGTGTTGCAAAAGTTTCACAATTTAATTGATGAATCAAATTATGTAAAATGGTGACCTCTTAAATTTGCTCTGTCCGTTCTTCCACTCTAGCGACATTTGGTTTCATTTAGGTATATATCACAACCAGGGCCGTAGCGAAAAGAAAAACCAGGGAGGGGAATCCAAATTTTCCCAACCCCACCAGCAAAATTTCCCAACTTTGAATAATAAAATGGCGTTTGTCTTCAGTTATATACACACTGTGTTCTAGCTCATAATTGAGAACAGCTAGAATTTAGGAAGAGTTTACGAAATGTCACAAATTTTTGCCGCCATGTTTTTGACGTCATTGGAGGAAAGAATCACGCCAGAAATGTATTGATGTGAAATGTAACCTGGATAATCCATAATATGATCCATTTTTATTTGATATCAATTTTTAATTGATATGATGCATTGGATCTCGTTTGAAATTTAGTAATTTTTGTATGAATTCGATTAGGTAGTGAAAATAGTTTTTTCCAGAATACCTCAAGATACTATCAATTTATTAACGAAGAACTCGGCTGAAGTGTATAAACGATTTTTCAAAACAGTTCAGTAGGGCTTCATATGTAGAAGCTGCTCTTTACAAATTTGTCTCAAAATCACTCTTTTCAAAGTGAACATAGCATACTCTATCGGTTGGATCTAGGATCTAATCACCAAGATGACCACAGTAATCAATTCATTCCTGCTTTAAACATCCTTAGAAAATATGGTGAAACTCACTTTTCCATTGCGAATGTGAGTGACGTAATGTTCTTACAATTTTTCATACAAGGCTGATAGTAAAAATTATAACAAACACTTAATCAACACTATAAACTTCATGGCAAAAAATGATCACAAATCATCCATTAATGAAAAAAATAATAATAACTTATTCTTGAATACAAATTCAATGATAGCTATTTTAACTTCTATTCGGAACTGCCAACATTATCTAATGAATTTTGAAAAATAAATGGAGCACAATGTATTCCATATGGTGAACGTTTGAAAGAAAATAACCCCTTGTGTGTGGATATTGTAACCAACTTTTGACTATCCTCTGACAATGACACCTGCTGGTAGGCTTCAGAAAGATCTATTTTTGAAAACGTTTCACCACTTTGTAATTGAATAAACAAATACTCAATTCGTGGAATAAGGTATCTCTGTACCCCCAACTGAGGATTGAGGGTTATTTTAAAATCGCCACAGAGTTCAACTCCACCGTTTTGTTTCAATATCGGAACGATATTGCCCATTCAGAAAGTTTGACTGGCAATAACTGCCAGTCAAACTGGCAGTTAATATTATTGTTAACCAATCTTTTCAAATCATTCTCCTGGTTTGCTGTTTTTCTCAAGAAAAGCTTGAACATAGTTTACAGAACAAATAACAATTTGAGTAGGGTTATTGAAAATAATGAAGACAAAACTTCTGTATCAGATATAACATATAACATTTGAAAGAGAAAGATTTGAAACACTATCTTTGAAATGCTTGGAAATCAATGGATTCAAGAATTCGGACAATGTCCAAATGGAATGATTCTCCTTTGTTAAATTTGTTTCTTATGATGAAATTGATAATTAGTTGAATATTGCAATATTATTAGATAAACTCAGGTAGTTTTATTTAATTACAAGTACAGGTAAACGGATCTGTTCCTAGAATTGGTCATTAAGTAGGTAGTGAAGTCATGATTTGAATTGATGTATATGAGAAACATAAACTAGGTAGAATTCAGTTTGAACACGCCTGAAGACACTGTTGCATAGTAAAACACGTCTTGCGATTTTGTAAAGTGTTTGGTGAAAATCTTACCATAAAGGGTGTCTCAAACAAGTTATGATAAATCCAGTAGTAGTAATTTCAATGACATATATAAACAAAAATATTAATCATGTAGCTTTATTCAGCAGGATGGGTAATTTTCGTTTCAAATGAAAATTAAACGATTACTATAAGTATTATCAGTTTCTTCATATCAACAAGTTTCGCTAGGAAGAAAACATAATCTCCCTAAGATTATATTTTTGTCACTGAGGTTGGCTTATGTTTACTTTCTGTTGGTTAAGAACTGGATGGGTCTCACTAACGAGTCTTTTAATTATTATATTTATTTGGTAATCCGAGTAGGTAGCCAGGCAGCTTATATTTGATTGAAATTATTAGGCAAGCATAGATTTTTCCGTATTCAAGCCTGGATATATACCCATGAGCAAAATTCATTTGATAAAATAGGGTTTTGAAAGAGGCATGATCAGAAGCTTCAGAACCCAAGAAAGGTTATTATCTATGTCACAGCGAACGAATCCTGAAAAATTGGTATTCTTGAAACTTCCACAGATCTGCGATTTGATTGTTACTCGCCAACAAGTGAGTTGGGACTGACATTGTAATCTTTGCGATTTATATGCATGAATCCTTGTGAATAATCAGTATAAACTTAAGAATACAGGAATTTAGAAAATCGTTCACTTGAATGATTCGCAGAACTACATTTACACAAAACTGGGAGTGATTCGAGAATACAAGTCTGCGAATAGGTAGGAGCCACTCCAATCCACGAGAGGTTTATCGTGACTCACACTTATTCAAACTCGGCCAAATGAGTCCAGCTTCTTGAAGAAACCGATTACTTATTTGGCGGGGTAGGCACATAGTACTTGTTCTGCTGTTTCATCAATTCCTGAACAGAGATGGTAGACACTGTCCTCCGACATTCCAAATCTCATCATATGATGATTCTGATGACAGCTTTAAGTGGACCTGTTAGACAACTGCTGTAATCTAACCATACATCTAAGGATATATGAATACGTCAGAATGGGCCAATCCTAGTAGATTACACCCTGAGACTGACATTTTTTTGCTGTCCAGGTATTCAATGTTTGTTTGGCAAAGCCTCAAGTGATGCCAATGGCAGGTTCTGGTCCGAAAAAACCGCTTTTGCAGCACCTTCCCTTGCTAAAGAGAAAACAGCTTTGTAGCTGCTCGAGTATATAAGACCGCCAATTCATACTCACTTTTCGTCGATCCTGTAGAGGGCTTTTACGTAGGTGCTAACTTTTGATAGTGTTCTTCAAAGACAAATGAGTCCAACAATGCATTTATACTTCAGCTCAGCACCACTTCAGATAATCGTATATTCGTAACAGCACTGTTTTGGATCATGAAAGTTTTGTTTTTGGGCTTTAGTTTCATCTAGTTACTCTGCAGTGAAAACTGAATAGAAAGACATTAAGCAGTCAATATCAAAGAACCGCCCTCGTTCATCTTGGATAAGCAGGAGTTGAGTTCATTTCGATTCAATAGATGTCGTAGTCCTAAAGAAAGATGTCCATGCACACTGATAAAACGTAAGAGCCTCAGTAAATCTTGATACTTAATTAATTCTCCGATTTTGTGAATCTCCGAAAAACCTCTATAAAACATCTAAACACTCCGAAATAAAAATGAAATTGGACGAGATAACCTGCTATCAGGTAACCACAAACAGTCACGGTACTACTAGCATCACTTTATGATATTTCCTGAATATGTCTCAAGTTACGGAACATGACTACATATAAAAAATATTTTCCGTTAAGAAAGTACCATAAAATATATTTTTTATACACGTTAGAACTATACGAAAAGTGAAATGATCTGTTGAAAATTTCTTGTAGAATCGAAGCCACTGTAAACAAATTGGGTTCTCGATAAGAGGAAAGAGAAAACATGATAATAATTTGAATCTTTTGAAAAAAATTATGTAGAAGTTCTGAAAAAAAAAGTCCAAATCTCAAATAAGTCGATATGGTATTGGAATTGTCTAGGTCATTAGGCCTTATAAAAAAATACGTGAGGTCAAAAATCCTGACATCAGCTGGAAAAGGGTTATCAAATGTGAAAAATTCAATGTAATCAGTTATATTTTAGCGATAAAAAATATTATTTTATGGTAATGTGTAATTCTTCCGCAGAAAACACTCAAAAAAGTTGCAAAAAACACTGTTTTGATTATTCACTAATGTAAATTTTATCATTTTGTCATTTCATATATACTTGTGTTTTTTACATTCAAACTTTTGTTCAGAAAGAAAGTTCTCAAACCAAATTTCATATCACCTGGGGCAATATTGAGCTCATCAATGTTTTTTTCCCATGAAGAAATATTGCTACTCACAATTTAGGACCTGCAATGTTTAAATGAAATATTGACAAGATTTTCCTACTACTTCGTATTACTTCTCACTTCAGTTTCAATTGCTCTCACGCTAGAATTCACTTTGATACTGATTTCACTTCAAATAAATATAAAACAGCTCACAAAAACAGTGTGACCAAATAATAAGTTTCCTAAGAAGCCTAAAATATTACTATATTAGTAGCATTTTTATACGAATATTGTCAAAGGAAAATATTGTTCTATTTTATAGTTATTTCAAATTCTGAAATATATATTTTTTGAATCTTCCACAATGAACTCACTGATCAGCAGCATACGTTTTGGAATATCAAGAAAGATTTTTAGTTATTATAGACAATTGCCCTGGTTACTCTTAAAATATGAACTCCGATATTGAGTCATATTCAAGATAGTTATTTTCTTCTTAGGTAGTGCTATCTGAAAATGTCTCCAAAGATTCTAAGAAATTCAGTTATTTTCTATGTACATTCCAAAATCGAATGAGGCTGTTTAAGCTAATGTATTTTTTGTAACAATGATAGTATTTTGATGGGAAGCTTTTGTGTAAGTCTTATCTTTGTCATTTCATGTGCATTTTTTGATAACACTTCTCACAGTCACCAGAACAAAAATAGTGTCTCCTGACGCGCGTCTCGTTAACCAAATTAGCATCAACAGAGTATTTTTTGTGCTGGTGAAGGAAAAGTATTTTCACTAGATTCATTTTACGCTAGAGGTTTCAAATTCTGTTTATCAGAACACCGTAGTCAAATTATCTGTAAAAATGTCCCAAAAGTGAGTTGAGATATTCTACAGACCATCTGAGTGATAACAGTTGGTAGCTTCATTTTGTATATATTATTTTAGTATTAAAACATAAATGTACTATTTTATTGTTTTATTTACAAACAATGCATTATTTTATGACATATAAAATTACAATAAAGTTCTTAGTTCCGTTGTATTGTAATTTATTTTCTCATTTACTGAGTTGCATTATGATTCCTGTGATAAATATCAATATTATAGGTAAGTAAATGAAGTGACTAGGTATGGGAACTATGGTAGTTCATTCAAAAAAAAGCTGACTGATTACTTATTGTGTTTTTGAATGCATCGCAGTTTTTTCAACTGAACTTCAAGCTCATGAACTCTAAAGAACTATGTTTTCTGCCAAAAAGAAAATAAATAAAATCGCTTTTGTGATTTGAATAACTGTGAAGAACAGGTTCTTCAATTTAGTATACCTCTTATAATATCAATAGAATATGTATTTCAATGTGCAACAATATATTTTCTCGTGTTTAAATGAATGATTTTGACACATAATTATATTAACAGACCCAAAAAGGATGCCGACAACTTCAAACAATTCACGAATCGCTCAATTTGATATAAAAATGTTTTGTGCAATGTGACTATGGTGTTCACAGGTGTGACTGTAAATATGTAACTTTTTTTTACCCAATTATTTTTCATTTCATACCTGTTCAGGAGTAAAAGTTTTAACATGCATAGGTATTCATATTTTCAAATCAATTTTGTCTCGAAACGTTTCTTATTCAAAAGTGCTATTTATTATTATTATTTCAAATCTATGAAATTCGTCAATAGAATATTGAAGGAGTCGTGTCATTTTTCAGCAAAGCAGATTTCAGTCTGTCATTCAACATAATTATTATCTAGACTGTCTTTCCTATTACTCTGTGACATGCTTTTATTTTATCTAAATTTTGGAACCGATTGAGAAAATTTTTCATGATTTACAATCTACACAAAATAATCGAAGCGTTTGAATAGGTAATGCAAAACATGCGTTTGTGAATATTCAGTAAACTTTGGTGCAGAAATACAGTTTATCAGGAGAGCCATCAATAGAACTTCAGTAGTGCAATGAGTAGAATCACCAGATCTGGTATAGTAATATTGATTCTTCCACCTAAAAATAAAACAAAATTAATATTTGAATATTTGAAAATGATATAAAAGAAACACTTGATAATACATGGAGCAAGTGTTTAAACATCTTTGAAACAATCAAATCATTCACGTGTGTATAAAGTAAAATTGAACATGTCTTCATATCTGATTTTTACACAATTCTGTCACTTTAAGAAAGTTGTCACAATGAGAATCAATAGAAGCGTGAGAACAAGGATGTTGCAGCATCTGTTCTTTGCTGTTCTACAATTGACACCGCTTCAATTATTTCTTTTATTGGTTGTATTGTTTTCAGTTTCAGTTTCTCACATAAAATATCACTTTCTCAATGCTACCTTTTCAAACTTTTCAAAAATAAGTAATCATTTCATTTAATGTTTTCTTTTCATTACCAAATTTATCATTTCTCATAAGTACCTTTCATGATTCTCAAGCATTTCATTTTCATTCCCTACACTACATTTGGCAATTGAAACTGTTTATCTGAGAAATGTACGTCTTCCCATGGATACTGAGTTACACAGATATCACTTATTGTCTTTCAGTTTGTATATCAAAACAATCATAGAATACCCCATTGAATCATGTAAAATTACAACAAATGAACAAATGGAATGAAAGAAACAACTGTGAATGAATAGTAATTTCCTATTTTGGTTAATAATTTGAAATCAATAAAAGTTCAACAAGACATCGAATATCATTACATAAATTAACATTTTCATTCATTCAAATATATTTTTCTATCAAAGAAAGTTCAATTTGGCAAGCAGAAAAGTTTTAATTGATTTCTGCCGGCATTGTTCATTTTTTCATACTCTCAGATATTCATTCCTGAAAATTCAATGAAATACTGAACTGAGTGACTGTTTAGTACATTCCTGGCTGGAGTGCGAAAGTTATTGTATTATAAAACTCGTGCATCAGTTAAAAAATGAGTTTATGGAGAACCCACAAGGATTTGTATTTGAATGAGATGTTAACTATGCATGATACTTACAAATTTTCTCAGCACAGACTTCATTTCCAATACGCATTTCATTAAAACAGTAGTTTTCTCAGTTGGACTGGTGGAAACTACTGTTGTAGTGGAATGCGGGAATGCGTATTGAAAATGAAGTCTGTAGTTATTGTGTAAATTTGTAATTATTATTATGAAAAGTGTTATGGATTTTCACGAAGTAATAGGTTATATGGAACTTCATAAACTTAACTGAAAATCTCACAGTGAAGTTACCATTTATTATAATCAAATATCGACAAATTTAATTACATATCAACTTGTGTTCAACAAGTTTTTTAGATTTTCATCACACACGTTTATTTTCTGGTTTCTTTGCTTCAGTTGGATGTTTCATATAAAGTTGTATTCCAATTTCTTTCAATTTCCCAGGATCGAAGTATTGGTAAATATTTTTGCTAAAATATCCATATCATTATCTGTCTGTCTGTTTAAAATCTGTTTTTTCGTTATTCAGCTGTCTCACCCCTACGGACGACAACTCTCAGAAGTTGAAACTTGTGCGAGCTAAGGATTAACGAGGTCTTGCCTTTTAACGTGTGATTCCTAACACGGGTTGGACGATAGCAAGTGAAAATCGATCGTTCAGACTAAGACTTGAATCATCGACCAACACGGTAGTCAATTTGAGTGAGTGAACAAAGCACACACGTCGAACCGCCTGGCTACCGACTGACCATAAATTTGTATTTTGGTACTGCTTCGTTTGTCGTATTTACTTAGACTCATTTTTTCTCAATATGAATTGATTTTGAGCCTAGACTTTGGTGTCAGACCAAATATATAGAATTTTCTCCAACTCTTCAATGAAGTGTTCCGTTCAAAAATGTAAGTGAATGCACTACTGTGCGGTGAGTTGGTGAATGTGATTTAAATTTCAGTCCAAGCTAGATTAGTTTTATGTAAGAAAAACTTCTAGGTCATGGCATCGTGACTCCATACAATCTACACAGTTGAACATCTTCTTCTTCTTGTGGCTAATCTCGAAAGGTTGATTACTGTTACCAGAGAAATGCAGATTTATACGAAGATTGTTTTTGTAATGCCCTTGTGCATATTGAAATTATATGAATACTGCTACAAACACGTATTTAATCATTTTTTCTGATATCGCGACATAACACAGAACATTCGTATCTGGAAAGGTGCTATATAATCACATATTGATCACTCTATAAAGCCGTGCTAGAACTTTCAGGAGCGATCAATACTCTGGCGGAGATTATAAGATATTGTAATTCTAATATGCGGCTCTTACGGGTATTACATCACCGAATTGTGCATATTATTCAGAAGTGCAAAAGCGCGACTTTTTGTTTTCATGTAGGTCAGCACCAGAATAATTTACATTTTCATGTTCATGTTCAAAGAGTGTGAGCTAATTTCTTGCTGGTCCCTATGGAAATCTAATAAACATGAATTTTTTTAATAGTGTTGTTACGTTTATAGTTTCAAAACTTTCTATGTTTTATACCACTTGTATTTGTAACTAACGTTACTGCAGTACTGCAGTACAAATACAAGTGTTATAGAAACATGGGAAGTTTCAATTCTAAATTTCATGATTATCTTCCACTACGTAGTAATGGCTACATCCATTAATTTGTTTATAGTTCTGTCTGAAAATTATTATTTTGTGATTCAACTTGGTAGATATATGCTTCTTTCAGTCAAATAACAACTGCTGTGAATTTTCAAGGGAGTTGATCCGGTTTTACTTACCACTGCATTGTCCTCCTGGAGTTGAGGAGAAACCTTCTGTACACTGACAAACTAAAACAGGATTGTTATTATTACTGTTGTTCCCTGTAGATGAAACAGTGGTGATGGGTTTTTTCTCCTGTTCTACACAGTTAGCGTTATCCACGCAATCGTCGTCTTTTTGACATATGTGTTTCGGACCTGTAGATACAAAAAAATGATTGTGAATAAAGTATGTTAAAATATTTGTAGATGATACTATTGGTTAACAAAGGTTAACGTATACTGTCTACGTAACAAAATGGTTCTGAATGGAGGCCTGAAAAATCATCAGGACGTCGAATCCCCTTATTTGTTTGCCATGAAAAACCAGCACGCATTTAGTCAAGCTAGCGTAGAGATACATAACATATAAAAACCTCTAATCAAGCGAAAAAAGATCAACTCCCGCCAAACGGTCATCTCCCGCTAAAACCAGTGAAGCGGAGAGAGGGAAGAGGGGATAGGTGAAAGCACTCGATATACCTATGAATAGTCAGATCTCGGAGGAAGTCCAGTTATCACCCGAAGACGATTGTGGATACTAACAATAGTTAGTATTCCAAATTTGACCTAGGAGGACAACTCCTCGGGAGGATGTACAATGGGTCACATGTGGCCTAAGTGCGTCGGCTTACACTCACCCTCCCTACTCTACAGATACAGAACCTTGCATGGTGCTGGATAATGAGTGCTGTTTGTTGGGCTTTGATTTCAACATAAGACCACTGATTCATTTGCTATCAATGCTAATTTATTTGCTCCAAGGTTCATTTCTTACAGCAAACCTGTTCTTGTTTAACATTATAACGACTTTGTCAATATCCAACACATGGCTTTGCAGACGACCGCACGCTTCATATCACCTGGTCATCCAAAACGCTGCCATGGATCACTCTCAAAGTGATCTTTATCAACGAGGACTTGGCAAGGTTATTGCATGAAAATCTATTGATCTTATGGAAAAGGATGGTACACTCAGAGTTGTCTCCTCAGCGAAAAAAAAAAACAAAATATGTGTAAACAATGTGTTAAAATTGTTTTTCCGTTAATCAGCGATCACTCCTTCCCGACCGAAAATCGTCAGGAATTGAAAGTTTTGCGATCTAAGAATTGACATGGTCTTTCTCAGCAATTGTTGCAGTTCACGAGGAAATCATCGTAAATGCTTAGGAGATAATATCACTGATGGTAAATTGTGACTCCACTCAGTATCATAGGTTGTTTTTTATTGAAATCATAATCTGACTTCTCGATTCTATAACCATCTATAACATTTTTTTATTATCTATATCTTTTCTTTTTATTATTTATATCTTTGTCGACCTTTCTAAGGCATTTGATACCATTTGCCACGAAAAACTTGAGTTTATCGGTATGCGAGGTAAAGCATATGATTTAATGAAGTCCTACCTCACCAGTCGTCAACATATGGGGCCTTTGATTGTGAATGCAGACACACACATTCCGGAAGCAACTTCGATTAAATATCTAGGTTTGATCATAGATCGGCATATGAGATGGGATTCTCAAATGTCATATCTAACTAGGAAGATACGTGGTCTTCTACCACGTTTTAAGATTTTGAAAGAAAATCTCGATA